TTAATTCAGCCAGTTCCAACTAAATTGATAATGCCCTGAAAAACAAACCTTGCACGGAAAACACAGAACACAAATGTTTTTGTCTTGACAGCTGGCGAGAACAACTAAGTGAAATGGTGAATGGAGTGTTTCTGACTTCTCTGAAAAACAAAAGGTTCCACACATTCTGAAAATGCCCATTGGTTTTTTACTAAATAGGTTGATTTTGGAGGTAGCTATTGTAACCGCTTTGTGAGGAAAGCAAAGGTCTATACTCTGACGCAAGCAGTAATTTCAGATGCCCACGTTGAAATGTTTTACAAATGTCTGATTTTTAAAAAGCGTTTATGTTTCCTTAAAAGAAAAAAAACAGGACTTTCAAAAATTATTTAAATTAGCCCAGAATCCTGAAGAAGCACAAAAAATCTATTCTTTTTTAAAATCCCAAGCCCGGCTTTCCCAGCAGTCTTTACTTGGGCTTCAGGGAGATGCAACGTAGGACGAAACGATGCGACGTTAACGCTCTCGCCAGCCCGTGATGCGGGAGCTAGCTGGACGGCCTGGCTCAGTTTCTCTTAGCACTGAAATACTTTTTTCCAAACCAATACCAAAAAAGGTTTGTTTCTAGGTCAAGACCTCAGTACTAAATTTTAACCAGGGGCTGACAGTCAAATCTGAACACAGCTGTAAAATGGATTCACAATAGAAGCTCAGGCATTCTTTTTCTAATTAGAAAACAGTCATTGAGCCTTGTGCATTTAAAGGTGAAAGCTATTTTTGACACAAAAATTAGCACGTAGTTCCTCCGTCATCCTTCAGTTGCTGCTCTGGAAGCTGTGAGCGAATGATCCAAAGATAAGCAAGAAGTATAAACATGCTGAATTAAACAAATAGGTAGAAGGGGATCAAGTTTTAAGTTTTATTCTGCCTGACAATTAGGAAAGGAAGAGATTTATTTTTACACTATTTATCCTAAAAAACACCGGTAAAAAGCTCCACTTAAGCACTGAGCCAGACCTCAAAGGCATTTAAAAACTTGAAGTGCTTTTAATAGCTGCCTTTTGAAAGTCCTGTTAAATCTATTTTTGAGATGGATAAACTAAGCCACCAATAAAGCAAGGCAGGAGTTTTCAGAAGGACCCAGCAGTGAAAAACTGTAGTCCACTTCGCAACGACTCAGCTCCCAGATGGGGACCCCTAAGATAAAAAAACCATCAGAGCACCGGATGCTTTTCAAAACCTGAGCGTTCTTTAAATCCAAATTTCCCTCTCTTCATTCTTTGGTGGGAATCTAACCCTGACAGCCCTGAAAATTAACCCCAGGCAGTTTTCAAAATACAGCTGAGAGTGACTGTTTCTAAAATAAAAGCGAGTGAAGAGCGAGCAGAACTTGGAGGGCTTATCACCACCAGTAATGCCACCGACTAATCCCTCGGCAGCCCCGGCCCCTTTATGTAACCTGGGATTGCTGCAGCTCAAACAGCTTATTGGGGTTTTGGTGGTTTTCTTTAAACCGCTCCTGGACAAATGCAAACACATTAAATACCTTCTTCTTCTGCCACTCTTATTTATTGTTATTGTAAAGTTAATCTACATTATTGTTCAGAGGGGAAAAAAAAGTCTTTTATTTCTGAATAATGGCAAATAGAATTTCACTCGTACGCTGAGAATAACACGTTTCTCTCTCTCATCCATGATCTTGACTGAACAGAAATCTTCCCGGTTTCTAACACTCAGGTATAACTCTCCAATGGTAAGACATAAAAGGTCGAATCCCAAATGCCTCCTCACCCCAAACACCCTCTGGAAGTGGTGGGGTGTTCCAAATAAAGAAAAAACCGTGCCCAAGGTAAACCATTTATACCATTTCCCGGCAGCGTGGGTGGCTGGGCCACGATACTTCCTTCCCTGTGGCCGGCTGCCCCGCGGTGCCTCGCCAGCTCAGAGCCAGGCACCCGCAGGCTCTCCTTGCCCGGAGGATGAGTTTCCGTGCCATTGATCTGACTGTTCTGACTTTCCACGGCACAAATCCTTCCAAGGCAAAATTCAACTTTAAAACTCTCAGTTGGTGCTAGTCCATTAATCTAATGCTGAATGCTTATGGAAACTTAAGAAGAAAAAAATAAAACGGCTATTGAACTACTTGCAATCGGAGACCTGAATAGGCTCGATATAAAGCCCACTCAAATCAACGGCCGCAATAGGCTTCCCTAGATGTTGGACTAGATCCAGCTTAAAAGTTTCCATGAAATAAACTAGGCTAAGCGCATCAGCTGCATAGAAACTAACTCGGTGTAACAGGAGCATCTGTTCTTCACATCCACCATTTTCTTCTAGTCCTAACTCCCCAGTGCTGCAGCGACACGAGTCGCCATACAAATCACTCATCGCTGTCGTGCAACTACACACCGTCTCTCGACAGCAGCTGCCCTTACTGCCTCGTTACACTGTGGATGAACCATCAATTATGAGGTAGCCTGCATGCCGTATGAACTACTTGACCAGGTAGCTTTCGTTTGTCAAAAAACAGCTTAATGTATTTCATATGATGGCATTACAAAGTGAAATTAATGTCTGCATTGAGACAGCTGAGGAGCACACCTCGGAACCATTTATACACAGTACAAAGCAAATGTTTACCCAAGTACAAATGAAACAGGCTGACAATTAGCTAATGCAGCTTTGTGGACATAAACCAGGTACATTCGAGCAGAACCAACATAAAATAAAAAAGGAAACAACCCTTTTCCTATCCCCTGCTAAGAGCACCACGGTTAGTGGTTTGGGAAGCCTCTGTCACGTTGAAAAATTTCCTTGCCGGTGTTTAATGCGTTTATTCTACCGCTACACTGCTCGGATAAAAATAACATCAGCAGGGCACGCTAGCTGGACGGAGCACCCACTGTCAATACTACAGTAATTGACAACATACAATTAAGTCTCACACCTGTTTATTGTAAGTAATTCATAGATAACCACTTCTAGTACACATTTTCATATTGGCTTTTAATGCTTTTGTTTTTTTAAGCTCAGGGACACCCAAACTTCATCTAAGGGTCATCTCTGCAGTTTACCCAGATCCAGGACGCTACACCTACTACGTAAAACTGGTGCAAATTGGTGTCATTGCCACGGGTAACAGAGATGGCTTGGGAACTACACATCCCAACATGCAACGCCCCGCCGGCGCGGGCTGCTCTGTGCTACGGGAGGAAGGAGTTTTGCTGGGGTGCATTCGCCTCACATGCCTCGTTTCGGCCGCATCAGCCTAAGTCATGCAGCTGTCTGCACGCAATGCTCTACACAGTGCAAAAACGAAGACCTCTACACATCTGGAGTAAGAACAGTGGTAACAAAGTCATAGCTACATATTCTTCTCTACAGTTTTGTTTATTGAGACAAACTAATTAAAAGGCACAAACATAGGGCATATGTTTACATGGACATTATAACAAACATATACATTAAAAGTGTAGGAATGTGTTTCCTTTCTGCTAAACAGAAAGTTCCTAAGCTTTTATATATACAAAAGTTGTACAATTTGATGTCCTAAAGTACAAAAGATCATTTATAAAATTATTTTACACTAAGCTCTATTTTTTTTGTTTGTTTTTGTTTTACTATGTAGTCCAAGCCCCTAGAACAGTTTCACGTAATGATACAGATACCCGTCACCTGAGCCAGCAGCCTGGCAATCACTGCTTGTACTGACACGGCAGGGTAGAAACGGAAGCAGTCCATTTTGACTGGTCAGTCCTGCTAGCACTCTGTGAAAATGCGCACACGCTAATCTCCATAGCTTTCAACTTCATTAAGATAAAAACATCTCAACTGTAATTTTATTTTTTTTTAATGTAGAGTCTTGGGTTTAGGGTGGTTTTTTTTTTTTTTTAAACAAAGTTTTAAAAATGTGAATATGTGACATGATAGTCTAAAAAGTATATCTGTTTCCCTAGATTTTGCTTTCTACTTTATGTACAGATAAACAGGTTAAGAAATAAAAAGCACATGTAGCTTAAACATGTGTGACCATTTGTGGAGAAGTTCTGGGCTGGATAGTTGAAACCATCACCCCAGAACTCCCACAAATTGATAGAAATGTGTTAACACAATAGAAGAGTAACGTAAAAATGATGATGTTTGCAAATATTTACAAAGTTGAACAGATCTGCACAACACTTGATTAAGAAATAGGGGAGAAATTAAAAGACGCTCTCTGCTTGTCCTGGAGGGGCATCCTACCTAGTTAGTGGTTAGAATAAAAACTGTATACAATTTAATATAAGACAAAACTTCTAGTGAACAACTAACACGTCTGTCCCCTGCTGTAACACCAGCAGGCTCTGATTGGGAGGCAGAGGGCATAAAAATCATACCCAGTGCCTCCAGAATCTTCCAGCTTAAAGCAATATTTCTTAAGTTTCAAAGCACTCCTTTTGCTCCTAGATAAGAGTCCCATAGGGGTCTGACTGTTCAGAGACCATGTTTACGTACATTGCGACTCCTCTTCTGTCAGCCACGGCTGTTTCTCACCAAACAGTAACAGGTTTTTTTTTTTTTTAAAAAATGTTGACTACAATGCTATATTCCCTTAGGGTAATATGTTGGGTAATATTTACATCTCCAAATATCAGGTCACAATCCCTATTATATGTTGAAGTTAGAATGATAAGTTATCATATGCTTTGCATATCAGAGCTGGTATCACCTTTCCCATAGGGAATGCTGCCTGAAATTACCATATTCCCAAAGGTAAAATGCATATTTTCTCCAAAATGCATTTTTTTTTTAAATGACAACATTATAATGCATTTACTCATTAAAAAAATACATCAACACAGACAAAGATTCTACACTAGCTCGGAAACGGTGGACTTAACGACTGGCGAGTTAAAACTAGCCATCCACCCTGTTAAAGATACAGAGGGGTCTTTGCTAGTGTTTAGATTAAAATAATTTTCTAAGTTATAATCTGGGGGATAAAACATAAAACTGTTTTTTAATGACTTTTTTTTTTTTTTTTTAACTCTGGCAAGTAAGTATCTGCTCTAATTCAGCATCAGTCAGCTAAAGGGTAAAACTTACTTGAAATGAAGTGCTCCAGTGAAACTCAAGTTTGAACCATACGAGCCAAATCAACAGGGGAAGATGCTACTGTGGTCTCTGATGGTGCATGTTGCCCCAGTGTCTTAGTCTGAATTTATTATTAACTAAAATAAAACAAAAAACAAAACAAAAAACCCAACAAAAAAAAAAACCCAACCAAACAAAACCCAAAAAAGAACTGCTGGTAAGGATTCCATTTTAATCCTTTTTAATACTGTTTAGAAATTCTTTACCAGGGAGGAGACGTGGGCAAGGCCTGGGGCAGGAAAGGCATGCTCTCTACCGGTCTCATGGCTATATTTAACGGACCAGCTAACGTCATTGGTGTGGGCAGGTTCATGGGAGATGTTATAGTGACTGGATGCGCTATATTCACTGGAGCGGTTACTGGGGTAGGTAAATTGACTGGTGTGGTGAGCGTTAATGGAGATGTCATGGATAATGGACTTGTTATAGTTACAGGATGCCCTAGGTTCATCGGACTGGATATATTAACTGCACTTGATACATTTACTGGACTTCTCATGCTCATTGCAGCTGCCACTGTGACTGGGTTTGTGATAGTCCCAGAAGCCACAGAGGACGTTATATTGAATGGAGTAGTAAGAGTCACAGGCGTAGTAGCAGCAGTGGAGGTTTGGCACAAGTTAGCAGCTTCTAAAAATGAGACATAAAAAGACAAAAAGTTTTTAACACATAAAAAACCATGGACAAGGTTTAAAAAAACAAAACAAAACAAAACAAAAAAACCCAACAAAAACCAAAACCAAACAAGAACAGGTACAAATTCTGGAATAATTTTCTTTAGGAATTATTAGTAAGTTAAAACTGTTAACATTCTATAGCCTACAAGAAATACAAACTCTCATGCAGTTCATTTCAATTCAGTATTTTTTTCCTGAGAAGTCAAGCGAGGTTGTCTTATAAAGAGGGTTTCGATGTTCACAAAAACAGTATCTTACAATCAAATAAATCCTCCCAAGAGGAACATTATAAATAGAGGAGAGAGTGTACATACCGAATGGTACGTACTCTATAGCCTTCTCAAAGGTGAACTGACATTCTGTGAAGGTTTTAAAAAGTCATTATTAGGGACTGATAAGCAAAGCTCGTTTCAATATTTACCTGCTTATTTCAGTCTTAATTATTGCTACTAAATTGTTCCACTGATCACAGTACTTCTACTTAGCAATTTTCAAGGCTACCCACTCAGTACATCTTTCAACCCCCATTATCTCCTCAGCTTTCATGTAAGCTACAGCTCCACACCAAGTTGTTTTGTTTTGTGGGGTTTTTGGGGTGGGTTTTTTTTTTTTCCCCTTTGTTTTGCAGTAAGCAGGAATTTAGTGCCGAACAAGGGAGACCCAGGAGGCTAGTGCCCGGCCCTGCTGCCGGTGGGCTCTAGCAGGGCTGGGCACCAGGGGAGCGGGCAGCGGCGGTGCGGATGGTGGAGGGATCCCTAGGAGGGATCCCTAGGAGGGATCACAAGGCATCCATCAGCACCACCTGCCGGCTACCCATACTAGAAGGCTCCAAAACCAGAAGCGGGTCAGTGGACGAGGGTAAAGGGAAGGGATGACTGCTAGAGAAACCGACAAAAATATATTCTAGATCAACGTTACGGCACTTCTAAGTCGTGTCTTATTCCACATTTGTAGGGTAGGACACCAAGCTCAGTCTACACCCACGTTTCAGGAGGTAAGCCAGGAGCAAAGAGTCCACTCTTGCCACTTGGGCAATACAAATGTACCAAGATAGAGTTAACTTTGAAAGCAACATTAGCCCCATTCAAGGGTTACTGTTGGTTCTTCAAAGTCCATACACAAATTTAGGAAAGGAGAGGGGATGAGGGGGAAGGGAAAGGAAGGAAAAAAAAAAAAAAAAAAAAAAAAATTGTGAAAATAAATCGTATTAGAATAAAAAAATCCCATATAGTGTTGTAAAGCCAACACAACAGGTGGCACTAGCACAGGAGAACCAGCATGGAAAGAGTAGCACATAGGCATGGCACTGACTGGTCTAGCTTCACCTTCCAAGCTCTGTAATATGCAAAGACACAGCCCACCCCATGCCCCTTCCCCAGTTAAGTAAGCTAATACCATCAATCTGACAACACTTCTACCCACCCACCTCCCTCGCCCACTGTTCTGTCCAAACCCACTGTTTCTGTTAAAGCATATTCAATCATCTCAGTAAGAAAGAAAGGGAAGAGGGAACAAGACATGGGAAGGAACAAGCAGAAAAAAAAATTCTGAGAGATTTTCTAAATCTGACACCCATTTGCTTTATCTATTTAGCGGCCTGACAATATTTAATTTTCTGTTATCACTACATTTTAACACAAATAAGCTGTTTCTATACTGTCTGATCACAGAATTCAATTCAACTGGAATAACAATCAAGGCAAAAGGAGCTAGCAGCCTAATACACAAACAAGACCTAGAAAAGAAAAAAAGACTGAAGAAACTGAAAGGAAGTTTAGGAGAAAAGAAAAAAATAAGGTGAGTCAAAAACATTGATTACTAAAAACAGCTAGTGAAAAACAGTAAGTTGTCACTAAGAATTTCTTCTAAAACATGTAATCCACGAGAGTCACATGATAGGCATTAAAAATCAAACTGTTATGAAAAGAATAAGCTAGCAGTAACAGGAGACTTTAAACTTCTATACTCCTAATGACACTAAATTGAAGCAATCTATTCTTTACAAAACTGACACACTGACCAACAAGAGGAAGCTATTCAATTACAGTAGCATAGATATATGTAAGCTGTGAGCTAGCAGTAACGAAAACTTATGAGTTAATTTTGTAATGAAAAAGACGACAAAGAGACAAAAGAGTAAGTTCTATGAGTTCTAGAAAACTTTACGCAAAGACAGTTATGTGATGATAAAGCAAATGGAATAACTGGGAGAGAAAAGATGAAAGGGACACAGAAAGCACCCACATGCAAACTGATGATGCAACGACAGAGGGTGTTGTACATGTGTGTATATATACATATATATATATATATATGCACACGAGTTAACAACCAGTAAATATGCATAAACACAGCTAAAAGCCACATGCAAGTCAGAAAAACACATTTTTCCCTTGGAGCAGACACAAACATCCCCTTATAATTGATGACTGCTACATACACATGCAAGCACAGAGACCAAAGGGAAGCAAGCAATAAGGAGTTCATTTACAACAGTGTCATTTTGGTCATGTTATCCTCCTGCTAGTTTTTAGCTATTACTTCTAACATCAAGAATGAAATTTTCATGTAAGACATCCTTTTCTGACCTCTTAAACTCCCTATGTAACTGTAAACTCCAGTATCTTATAAAACCAAGACCATAAGTATTGTTTTGTTTTACCTTTCTTCCTTGCCTTGACGGCCTCTTCCCATAATCTGAGGGTCTCTACCTGCTTTCCAGGCCAACTTGTTACGTGTTGCTGCTGCTGCTGCTGTTGCTGCTGCTGTTGTTGTTGTTGTTGCTGTTGTTGTTGTTGCTGCTGCTGCTGCTGTTGTTGTTGTTGCTGCTGCTGTTGCTGCTGCTGCTGCTGTTGCTGCTTCTGATTGCTGGTCTCTTCACTCATGCATGCTATGCCAATTAAGTAAGAACACAAATTCACCTTGAAAAGTTACTCTGTTTTCTGCTGAGAACACAAAGGCTTCTTCCATAAAAAGCATGTGGAATCTCACAGGATTCCAAGAGCAAAAATCACAGAGGTGTATAAAACCATATAATTAATTCTGTGCTTTATAAAACTACTTTTCCAAAAGCCAAAAAACCAAAATGTAAGTCAGGGACATCTGCTTTCACTGCCAAAAATGAACTTCCTTTCTGATTATTTCGTTGGTACTTTAGGAAGAATGAAAAAAAAGACTACAATGAGTCTCTAAAATTCAAGCTGGTTAGCTCATTCCACTTTTCCTAAACCTCAGCTCCAGTTAAAAAAAAAAAAAAGCCTATTTACTTTTTATTGCAAGTATGACTTAAGATCTTCAGTTTACCTCTACATCATAGAACAGCATGTTAGTACTCTCTGGCCACATTACAGCTCATCATTTCCACCTCTAACAACTGCTGTAAATGCCTCATGTGAACTGGCTTAGCACCACTGAACTGGCTTGGGAAGCCAGAGCTGTAATCCTATACCTTGAAAAATACTTCACATTCAAATTTCGTATTACTCTCAACAATCAGGCATTTTAGACATTCCCGGTACCTTCAAATTATCCAGGAGTAACAGGAACTGAAAAGATGTGGTAAATCAATACTGTTTAAAAGGCTTTAAGGACAAAGTTTCCAAAGACATTCCTGACTTCTCCCTCTTGACTCCTCTGAAAACCCGTTTTCTATCACTAACCACGTGAGTTAACTTAAGTTACAAGTATTTTAATAGGGAAAATTTGAAAGTGAAGTCTTCATTTGCTTACTAGGCACTCCCAGGTTCAGGCTTCAGCACTTCCACAGAGCTTAAGACTAGAAGGAACTATTATAAACATCTCATTTGGACTCCTGCACACCACCAGTCAAATGCCATTAATGCCCAAAACATATCAGGGCTGGATTTAAACGTTTTTCTTGTCAGCTATTGCCAGAGGGAGGAATCATTGAGCCCCAGGGTCAAAGCTCAGAGAAAGCAGAGAAATCTTTTTCCTAATTTTGATGAGTTTTAGGTCAGGCTTCAAACCTGAAACTTGGCAGACCTTAGCAGTTCTTAAATACTCTAAAATCTCCAGAATTATCTGTTGGACTTTTAGGCCTGGACAGTTCAGGATGTAGCACTGTACTTAGAAGATGAGAAAGCTTGGGAACTCTTTTCTTCAAGAGGTGGGTTATTCTCACAAACTGCAGGGCATTCCTAAGGGATAAGAGCACAGTCTAGCAGCAAACCAATTCCACATATGCAAATTCTTGAGCTGAAGAAGATTCTGTTATCAAATATCTATTTTTAATAGGTGTGAATACCCAGACTGATGGGCATGTTCTTGCATTTTAACGTAATCAAAGGCAATTTCCTTTGCAAACACATTGTCATTAGAAATGTTTTTAAAACGTTCACCTACTTTTATTGATGCCTTGTTTACAGGTATTACAGTTGATACTTTGGCTCTGCCCGTGTGTCTTTAAGTGGCTGGTGATATATGCTGCACTCAGAAGTTTACCACAGATATTACACGATACCTTTCCTTCATGGCGCACCATGTGTGTCCGCAGTCTGTCTTTGGTGGCAAAGGCAGCAGTGCACGTCTATATGAAGGACAACAGTTACACTTGAAGTGCAGACAGCATCACTACAGTATGAACTACATGCCCACTGTAAGCCTATTTTACCTTGTAGGTGCAAACAGTCTCCTAAGTATAGTGACAACCTTAAGTTTTACCTGTATCTATAGAGAAACCAAAATCAAACTACTAAACAGAGACTGAAAACGGAAGCTGACTTCTGAGACAACTAGGCCAAAAATCATACTCTATACTACTATAACTTTCTTAAAATAGTGGGTTCCTTACATACCAAAGCAAGAGGTAGCTTATTAAAAAAAGCCTAGAACAGGCAAAGTTGGGTTTTGATACAATTTTACTGTACAAATATGAACTTGATATCTTAAATTGCTCAATTACTTCTGTTCCCATCCAAATCAGAACAAGGAAACAAAACCTTTTTCCAACGCTATTCTTTTTACACAAGACTCTTATTTAATATGATGAGTCACTAAAACACAGGTTGGAACAAGCATAGATATTCCAAGCAAAACAGTTAATTGTTCAAGGGCAGTCAAGTTATTTCTCTTACACTCAGTCATGAACTTACAACAACTTGCTTTTGCCTTCCAGCAAAATAACGGATCCAGAATCAACTATTCCAATTCGTTTTAAACGGATATACTGAGAAACACATTTAATTTAAACATGCTGAGAAACACATTGCACACATTACTCCGGTAATCGGCCCTGAGCTGAGGACGCTGTTACAATCCTACTACTAAGGTAAGCATACTGTAAAACAGAGCACCTATGTTGTTCTCCAACAAAGCAAAAAGCCTCTATCTTCCTAAAAAAGTAGCCACAGCACCCTTTTAAACTGCCTCTACACTTACATCAGAACTACAGCGCTGCTGGTGTGTAAGGCGGATGTGACTTTATGCCTGAGCTTGCTTTTCAAAGAGAAGTCCAGGAGCAAATACAGTACTGGAAAGATTATGCACCTGAGATTCTAACGATACAGTAAGGTATTGTTCTTAATGAATCATTTTAGCCCTTACTTGGCATTTGAAGGGTCTCTCTGTTGAGTGAACATGTTTAACGTGACAGCTTAAATGATCAGGCCTGCAAAAAAGAGAGGAACAGAAAAGAAAATGCATACTGTTACAAATACATAGTAAGGACACCTCGGCTAGCGGTGCTGAACACTGCACTGATGACCCCTTGCAGCCCACATCCCTCTGCGCGGCAAGAATAAATACGTTCCCCTTACCTACGCGGTGGCTTTCGGCTAGAGTAACACATAGTTACACTGAGACCCAGTTTAAAACTTAACCACGTTCTTCTTACACACCTGAAAATGGTACGTTTGGTCGTACCTTGTGTAAAGGTGACAGATCAACAGCTCTAAAGGTTGAAGTTTTCTCTGTTGCAAGCACAGATATAAATACAGCCAGCAGCAATGCAAGCTCCCCCACAATGCTCTGTCAGTACGCCTCAACCTTGCTACGAGACAAGGAGACGGTTTGCCTGCCGTGCCCCATGCGGTCCCTGACCTTTGCAAAGGCTGGTAAAGGGGCTCCGTGGTCACCACCAGTGACACAGACACGTGTCCTGCGGGACCGGGATGAGGTCACGAAATCGTTTCAAAACACTCTCATAAAAGAGCGACCGCTTTTGGCCACCGCCAATCTGGCTCAGATCGAGACCCACGCCCCAGAGGTAAACAAGGCTCTTTATCCCCTCACCAATCTTCTAAGATGTCTGGTTCTCCTAGCCCCTTGCTACGATAGCTTAACCCTTCTTGGTTATGAAAAGCCAATACTTGAGCTCGCCTGGGATTTTCTACATGGTACCTCGAGAAGCCTTTTCCACAAACACCACAGGTGTATGGTTTCGTGATGCCACCTTCGTGAGACCTCACGTGGTAGGTCATGCGATCCTTTCTCTTGAAGCGCTGATTGCAAATTGGACATTCAAAGGGTTTTTCATCTGAGTGGGACAGCTTGTGCCGGTTGAGGTGGTAGACATCCCTGAAGGCCTTTCCGCACATCTCACAAGCGTGGTTCTTCTTAACGGGCTTGCTGGGCTTCTTCACCGTCTGAGTCACTGCCATAGCCGTTGCGCCGGCACTACTGCTGGGGTTGGTGGCAGAGGAAGACGTAGTGACTGTGGACAGGATGCCTGCGATAGTCGAAACCAATGAACTTCGGCTGTTGTCACCAGCGATGGTCGAGATAAGGGGCACCATTGTGGTGGGAGTTTTCTTTGGCCGTGACACTAACTTTATCCCTGTGTGGCAGGACTCGTGACGCCTCAAATGGTAGCTGTCCCTGAAAGCTTTGCTGCAGTAAGTGCACACAAAGGAGGTTTTAGGTTTTTCCTTTTTAATCCCAACAATAGCATCCTTTAATGTTTCTGGTGCAGGCTGAGGTTTCTGCGTTATTGGTAAGGGCAGAATCGGCTTCTGATCGGGTGGCTCAACAGCAGAGCTCAGGAGAGGCAACAAACTGTTCTGTGCTGCCTGCTGTTGGTGATGTGAGGCTTCGTGTGCCTAAAACCAAACATTCACACTTAAATTCTATTGATGGGTGCTCACTCTGACATGGTGAGAACATTTACAAACTACAGGAAAGCACATTCTAGACCAAAAGCCATTGAAGTAACAACTGGAAAAGATTACATAATTTTGGTTTTGGACAGGATAAACCGCTTGCACTTTAAATGCATTCACTGTGCAGATTCTGTGGTAAGTGTAGGATGGCACACATCATAACAATCAAATAATTATTAAGTTTCCGGAGGGCAACACTTCTTAAGGAAAACACCTAGGTGCTTGTCAGATCTTTACTAATGCAGCGTTTGATCTTTACGTAACAGATAACTTGTTTTGCTAATGATCATATCAGATGCCACCTCGGGACTAACTTTGGAGCATATGAATGTACTGATGGGAGTTGCAAAATAATGCCCCACCTTTAAGCCAAGCTTAGTGCACACTGAGAATTAAAGTGCAGCCACAGAGAGCCAGGATGCGATAAGGCGTCTTATTTAAACAACGTGATCATACCAGTGTGTTAGCACTGAAACCAAAGCAACTTGAATCGAGAGCTGTCTAAAGCCACATTTCTATATTTAGCAGGTTCCCGATGCATTTATACGCTGACCACTGTGCTCTTTGCGTCTGGAAACTAATAAGAATAGCAACATGTTCTTTTTCTCTTCATCAGCAGCTACTTTGTGATAGGAAGAGAAGCTAATCGATAAGCACTAGTAGACATCTAGAGATGCTGCAGAACACGGGGGCGGGGGGTTGAAAAAAAAAAAGAAAAGACCGGAAAGTTGTTTCAAAACAGCCAGTACCAACTGACTCTGAAGGACAGAATCAGTGGGAGAAGCTAAAGGGAAGAGACGAGGGGGCCCCCCCCCCACGAGGGTGCCGCGGCAAGCACCGCTCAGCTGAGCTGCAGCCTGCGCCGCTACGGGCTGTTCGACACCCTGCTTGTATTAGGTGCTGTTTATCCTAAGGCAGAAAGCACTGTTATTAAAACTCATCCAGTCAGACTGGGACAAAACCCTAGCAGATACAATTTTGAAGTGGTTTAGAAACCACACAGACCAATTCAGCCTAATGGAGCATTAAAATAAATCACTCTAGCACCTTAAGCCAGTTTAAGCGCATCTGTATTCAAGATGTGCCTCAGTCTCATCAGACCAGTTTTAAATCAGTCTCGTTATTAGCGCAGTGTGCCAGGTCTGAAGCTGAGTTTGGGGAAACTTGCATTTCCATTAGATCAGTACCGCAGCCTTCCAGGACTTCTTCCCTACGGCTTCCTTCACAAAATAACACGACTCAGGGCTGTGAGAGCTGAATAAAACACCGTGCTGGCTCGAGACCCCCAACCTGTCTACTTTTACATCAGTTGAGGATGGACAGCGTTACGAAGCGCGCTCAGGCTAACACTCTTCCTACGTGAATCCATTTCATCTCATCCTTTGGAGAAGTCAGTATTTCTAGAAGCTCACTTTAGGACTTTTTCTTAGTTGCATCCAAGCTCCGGCCGCTTTGCCTCTCCCGATCGCAGCAGCGACTACAGCCACCTCGGTGCAACTCTCCCTCGGCTGCAGGGGGACTCCCACCTCCTCCTGCCACCGAACAACACCTGCATCGCTTCAGCCGCTCATTTTTCAGGAGCGCGATGCCAGTGATCTTTGGATAAAAGCCACCGGTGGATACAAACACTATCCCATGTGGGTATCAATACGTACTCCCTAACACTGCAATCCTATCTGACAGGATAAAAGGTTCACGGAAGAAAGCCTGGATTCGGTACGGCAACAGGAGACAAAACTTGCAGGAATCGTTAGGAGCCAGGCCAGCCTGTCCGTTTTTATCTGCATTTTACATCCCATCTGTGCCGAAGCTTGGGATGCAACAGGTAGGCTGAACATTACCACACCTCGCCTGGCCACAGCAGCTACTTCAACAGCCTAAAGGGCTGGTTTGCAGAAGCGATTGCTGAAGAGTCGAACGCAGAACTCTCCTGGAGGCTACGCTGCTAAATCAGGGCACGACACAAGCTCCAGCGTCTCCGTTAAACTTCTGCCTGACTTCAGTGACAACTGTGGATTTTCAACCATTTATTTTCCGTGTTTTTAAAAAGCCATTGAGACATCTACATTGCATAAAAAGAATAGAGTATGCACAATACACATTGAAAGCACAGTATTAAGCAAGTTGGGTACTTAAATACAATTTTAATTTAAAAAAAAATTCTCAAATGTTTTACAGCCAACTTTGAATAAGCTTTAACAATGTTGTCAAACTGCATCAGAAGACACTTAAGAGCACCTAAGGATAGCTCCAGAGATACAGTTTCAAAGGCAGAGCTAGCAGATCGGATAATAGAGCGCCCAAATCCTTTGGACAACATTCAAACTCATGCAGTTTATGGGTATCTTTAAGCCTCAAAGAATCGTCAGCACTTCAAGGTAATGATGCACTTATTCCTACGAACCCGACCAGAGAGGATGGACATAAAACAATGTATATTCATCAGGCTACAGGCTATGAAGCCGCTGCTTATGTAAGTCTGCTTATCTTGGTTCCCAGATAGCCCGTGTTATTAGCAGCGCTGTCTTTCTAGCAACCCCTCTTTGCAACAAGCAGTATTCCTCAGTTTCCAAGGCCTGCCTGCATTAAAGCCTTTTAAAAAAGGATCAGGCAGTATTTTTTTTTTTTTTTAACTCGCTGTTCGAGAAGGGAAGACAGCACCTGCTGCACGCCTCTCGCAAGTCATTTTTGTTCAGTCACAGACCTCGGTTTTACTTGACCTAGCATTAATGTCAAGCCAACACTTTTTGCAATATTTTGATTGCCTAGGATAGGCTCTTGTGCAAAATACCCTCGCTCTATCACTAATTTTTTCTTTCCTGGGGGGCAGTAAACACAAAAAACCTGTAATTCGTGACCCGCAGTGGTAGGATGTGGCATTGTGAACTTCCAATGCCAGAGGCTAAAATATTTTTGCGCTCCAACCTTAATGTGAGAGCAACAAATTAGCATGAGTTGTATCTTGAACGCACTGTTTGATGGATGATTCCTCCTCACATTAACAGACACAACTTTCACTTTCCGAGCAGATACTAAAAGTGGTTTTCAAAATATGCATTTCAGGGATTAATAAGCTCCAAACAAGAACTGCTCATTTAGTATCACAATTGTTTCTTTAAAAAGAGATACAATTCATCAAAATGCCACCTAAACACAATCAAACAACTTTATTTGGAAAGAGCAATTTACAGTCACATATCCCATTGCTAGCAAGAGTAAAATTAAGACATTGAAACCTCCTCTAAAAACATTTTGCTAAAAATTACAACTTTACACACCACGTATTAAACTGTCCCCTAAAAATCCTGTCACAGCTGAAACACACACTCGGTAAAACTCCCCCCGCAAAGAATGAACGCGTATACTCAGTCACTTGCATTTGTTATTTAACTGATACCGGGGAGGGGGGCCGGGAGGGGCTTTTAAATTCACTTTTTGTTACTAGTTTTAACTAATCAGTTGGATCTTGGCTGACCCGCGGCTGGCGAGACTGGGAAGAAGAAAAAGTGAAGTCACATCGGGAGTATCTTAACAGTGCTTTCTGCTGGGTGCATTAGGATGCTCACCCCCTAAATCGTTGGTTTTAACAAAATGACTCAAGAAACAATATTCAGCATTTATTATGAGGTCTTAAAGCTTTATTATTGGGGGGGGGGGAAGTCAGGAAAATTTCCACGTCACAGTTTTATGAAGATGCTTCCAAGTCGCACATAGCTAAGTACGTTAGGAAAGTGAACTGCTGACTCCTTAATTAAAAGCAGCAAAGCCTACTCCTAAATCAAAGTGCGACATCGCTATTTCAAAATACAGTACCCTTCAAAAAAATAAAGACGAGCAGCAAGAAGCTGGACACGTACTTGAAAGTATTACTTGGCATTTCTTACAGAGGTTGCTGCAATACCATATTGCCAGCCTACGAATAATTTCCCCTCGAAAACGCTCAGCTGTGAGCCCGGGAGGCAGAAAGGCAATAAACCTGCCCCAACTCGGAGGGAGATGGCCCTAAACTAAGGAGATTAACTTCTTAGCGTGAAGTTTCCTATGTGCGAATCACAACTGCCCACTAGAGTGAGAAATAATTCACAAGACCTCAGCCAAACTCGATGGCATCACCACATTCATCACGAAAAGGCGGAAAACCCAGCACCCAGCTCCTGGTACCGGCACCCCGGAACATTCCCGGCGTGTTTTCGGAGGCAGAGCACCCGAGCGAGTGACTCATCCCTCGGTACTTGAAAGGGAATAATTTTTCCTCTCTAAAGGAATGGTGCTCGCTCTCGGTGGATTTATTCATTCAACTCAGGTTCTCAAACTCGTGTCACGGGTTGAGTTCGGGTTTAATTCCGAGGAGGACAGTGAGTAAGCGAGTGACCGCCGCTGGGAACGTGCAAAGAGGATTATTTTACCTTGAGAAAGGTGATGTGTGGGGCTTTTTTTTTTTTTTTTTCCTTTTCCGCTGCTGCTGCTGCTGCAATTACACATTTTATGTTTTCAAGCTCCAAAAGAGCAGGAGGCATCAGAAAACAATCTGGCATGAAAGGGCTCGGCTCACAAAAGCCAGGGAGAATGGGGTTTTTATTTAATATTTTTTTTTTGGTACACGGGATTTTCTTTGGAATTACATAAACAGCGGTGGTTTTAAGTCAGTCTTTCGCAGACAGAAGGGGGGAAAATTGTGACTCAGTTGGCAAAGGGAGGGGTTGCACGCTCCACCGTCCCTATTCCTCCCTGTTACCGTTAGCATTTCGCCAGTTTTTACAGAAATCCGGCCCGCTCGCGTCCTATTTTAAAAGAAAACAAGCTCCCTCGTCACCCGGCCCCTGAGTCAGGCTGTTTAAAGAGGGATTAATTTATTCTCCCAGACACGGTGTTTGTTCCATCGGGGTTT